TACTGTGTCTTCATCCTTTATCACAAACTGAGCACATGCTTCTTTCAAAACTTCATAGCTAAAACCAAGCACAGGGAAAGGTAACCCTTCAAACCACAAGTAGCCATCTGTCATGGTGATGAGCTCTCTGTGCGAGGTGCAGGGGTTCAAGCTGTATCCACCATTGGATGTTGGGGGAGGTACTGGGAGGCTGGACTTTGAAGTAAAGTCAAAAGAATCATTAACTTTTCTTGTTGTCAAATTAACTGGGTGATTAAACAAAATTGTGACTGGTGATCAAAGTTTCTTTTTATTGAGCAATTTAGGAATCATTCAGGGAACGACAGGATCAGGATGTGAGCATGAGTGCATAGACAGGACCCCATGGCAAGTGCTGCAAAATAACCCCACTGAGGAATGTGTGGGGCCTGAAGAAAGCCATTTTTTTGTTTATATGTGTTTTGAAGAGTTTTCATAATAGAAATTTTACATGAAATCAATAGACACAGTGTAAGAATAATAGCCTGGAAGGACTTTGTGGAACTGTGGATGGAAGACTCTTGACTCTAAAGGACAAGAACCTGCTTCAGAGTCAGCAGACAGAGGGGTGGACTGTCACTGACTCCAGGGTCCACTCCTCCCTTTCCTCTGATTCACATGTGGGAGTGGGCTGCATGCTGTCAGGATTTAGGGACTGAGATGAGGGAATCTTCATATCTATCACATCAAAGATCCATCGAAGCTCTGTTTCTTCCTTGGTTGAGCACTCTCAGTGCCCAGGGGACTCAGGGACCAACAGCTCCACATGTTCAAGCAACACGCCCATCCAGGGGGCCCATAATAGTGACCTACTGGTTCCAGGAATGCTGAAAGATGCACCTACATTTGTGTCGGTTCCCATGGGCTTCTGTCAGCTACAAGGAAAACCAGCTGATCAATGACGTAAACCCCACATTGAAGGCAACGGGGTTTCCTGTAGATGTTGATGATCAGGAACAAGAACACTTTCCACTCTTCCTGCTGATTCCTGGGAGAATCAATAGACTGAGCACTTGTGTGTTGAACTAGGAGATGTGGACACTGAATCTAGATCTATGTGGCCACAGACTGCTGTGTGCATCCTGGGGAGAATGACCAACAGTCGGGGCACGGGTATTCGTCTGGCTGAAGGCAGAGAGGAACTGAGTCAGTCAAAGATGCAGGGGCACATGTGCTCTGGACAGACAGAACACTGGGCCCATCAAGACCAAAGAGCTACCTTTTATAAAAGGGGAAGCTGGTTCATGAGTTTTGTTTCTTTACTAGTATTGCCAAGTAATTCTAGAGAGTTATGGCAATCACGTGACCCTGTGAGTGCTCAGTAGTTATGGAGTGGTGACATGTGTCTAAAGCACTGAGCACACTTAATATGTGTCACCAGTTACACCGTCCACCAGTCCCATGAGTTGAATGAGGAAATGTGGACACCACCAGGCGACAGAGTAAAATGGTGAGCTTTCTGGTGGTTTAGTGGTGCACTGTGGTGACACGTAATAGTTGGCTTCATTTTGACACAATCATACCCGCATGGGATGTCATTTTCTCCACTTCTGTCCCCAGTGGCTGTGATGTTCCTCCCCCACTTTTCCCTCCTCTATCCACTAGTATTTATGTACTTACGCTTTATAGAGATGCATTAAGGTGGAGCCCACTGTGCTGTATTTATAATGCACACTGCATGGTTTTGTCCACTCCACTCTCCATTTTCTCACCTCCGGTCCCTCCTACCCCCTCAGTCTTTTTCTTCTTCTCCACTGATATTCCCTCTATCTTCATGATACCAGAGCACCTGCCACACACACACACACACACACACACACACACACACACTCCTCACCTTTATTTTGACCTTCGTTCCTCATATGAGCCAAGTCATCTCACCCTTTCCTTTCTGAGTTGGCTTATTTCACTCAGCATGACGTCTTCCAGTTCCATCTATTTATTGGAAATGCCATGATTTCATCCTTTGTTATGACTTAATAATACTCCTCTGTGTGTATACACCACATTTCCTTAATCCGTTCTCCTGTTGATGGGTACCTGGGCTAGTTCCAAAACTGGGTTCTTGTGAGTTCTACTGGTGTATACGTTGAGGTGGCTGCATCACTACAGTGTTCTAACTTTAGAGATGGATAAATGCCAAGAAGTGGGATTGCTGGATCCCATGGGGTTCCATTCCTGGTCTTTGGGGGAATCTCCATAGTTCTTTCCTGAGAGGTTGTACTAAGTTGCAGTTCCATCCACAATGTGTGAGAGTGCCCTTTCCCCACGTCCTCCTCAGCATTTATTATTTGTGTTCATGAAGATTGTCTTTCTCAGCAGAGTGAGATGAAATCTCAATGTCGTTTTGATTGCATTTCTGTGATTGCTAGGAATGTTGAACATTTTTTTTAAAGAGAGAGAGAGAGAGAATTTCTTTAATATTTATTTTTTATTTTTTGGCGGACACAACATCTTTGTTTGTATGTGGTGCTGAGGATCGAACCCGGGCTGCACACATGCCAGGCGAGCGCGCTACTGCTTGAGCCACATCCCCAGCCCAAACATTTTTTCATGTATTTGTTGGTCATTTGTATTTCTTCTTCTGAGAAGTGTCTATTGAGTTCTTTTAATAAAATGGTTCCTTTATTGGAATGAGTCCCGGTGTCAGGAGTGTGGTGACACTTACATTTAGTTCCTCTGAAGCACCCTCTGCCTATAGTTGTCACCAGGTGTGACCCAGTCATGCTCTCTGCTGGATCCCACAGGCCCATGCTCAGTTCTGAACTTCAGTCCATGCCCTGTCCTGGAGCAGTGCTATGACTGAGGGACAGCAGAGTCCAGCACCCACTGGCCTACTGTGATCTCTGTGCTGCAGCACCCTTGTTCCTGGTGATAAGCAAGTTCATGTTCTATAAATGGAGAACGCTGGCCTGAGTCAGTGCTGTCCTGGCCACAGTTATCCTAGTGCCCTCGATTGCCCGCTGTGTATGGTCTGCAGTTATCCCTGGTGGCACCGGAGGCTCTGACTGTACGGTTACAATCTGTCCTTCCTGTCTAGTCCCTCTGCTGGGACTCTCCAAACTTGTCACCCAGGAGTTTCCACAATATAGTGCTACAAACCACCATGAAATGACTGTTAGGATTCCAAAGAGGAATCCCTCAGCACCAGCTTGATCAATAGCAGCATTTATTTGGGAACTCAAGTGTGGGCTGAAGGGTCTCTTGAGTGACAGATAGAGAAAAATATTCCATCCAGGCAGGTGAGGGGTGGTGCCCCTCCTCTGGGAACACACTTGGGGCAGCAGACCATGGTGGTGAGCCTGCCGACTCCCCAGGGTTTGTTCTGCTCTCTGTCTTCTAGTTTCTCCAGCATTTTTAAGCTGTATTTTATCAAAGGCTTTTTCTGCTTGTGGGATGATGGTGTAATTCTTGTCCTTAATTCTGCTCTGTGAGGAATTACACTTACTGATTTATGTATGTTGAAGCGACTCTGCATCCCTGGGGGAATCCCACTTGACCATGGTGCCCCACCTTCTTGATCTGTTTTGAAAGCACTTTGTTAACAGTTCATTAGTTATTTTTGGTGTCTATGTTTAGAGAGAAATGGGTCTGTGGTTTTCTTTCCTTTTTCTATGTCTGGTTTGTGTATAAGAAGGATATCACTTCCCAGAACAAATTTGGGTGGGTTCCCCCCCTTTCTATTCCATGGAATGATTTGAGGAAGAAGAATATAAGATTTTATTTCAACAATAGGTAGAATTTGGCTGAGAATTTGGCTGGTTTGGGGTTTCCCTTTTTAGAAAGCTTTTAATTTCTGCTTCAATCCCATAGTTTGATATTGGCTGTTTAGGTTTTCAATATCCCCATGTCTCGATTTGGGCAGGTCATATTGTCTAGAAATGTGTCAGTATCTTCTGGATTTTCCAGTTTGTTGGAGCATAACTTTTCCAGATAGTTTCTACTGATCCTCTCAATTTCAGATGTGTCTGTGCTGGTATCTTCTTCTTAGTCCGTAAATTAGTGGATTGGGTTCTTCTCTCTCTTTCTCTTGCTTGGTTTGGGTAGGGTTTATCAATCTTCTTGATCCTTTCACAGAACCAACTCTGTTGTATTGGTTCTTTGAATGTTGTTTATTCTTAATTTCATTAATTTTGACTCTGATTTTAATTATTTTCCATTTCTAATTATTTTGAAATTATTTTTTTCTTCCTTTTCTAGTATCTTAAGGTCTAGTGTCTTGATCCCTAACATTAGAATATTAGGGATCTTTATATTTTTTTTTTAGATGGAGGCCCTTAATGCTATAAACTTTCCTCTTAGAACTGCTTTCATAACATCCCAGAGATTTTATGTTGGTCTCAGTTGTCTGTCCCTCCCCTGGTGTCACCTCGGCTCCTTTTCCTGTGGCTCAAACAACCTGTTTCAGGCAAAGCATCCTCAGTCTTCTCAGCTTTGCGGAATCTCTTGCAGGTGCTCAATTGCTCTTCAGAGTGACCCTTGGGGAGTTGCCATGAGGGTGTGGTTTTCCCTGAACCACCTCATTCCATCCACCAAAGGGGCGATCTGCATGGATGGAAAGGATGTTTAAAACTGTAGTTCATTAAGAGTAAAGAAGTTGGGGTGTGAGGTGGGACTATTCAAGAGGTGAGAGGAGAGAAAATGGAAGCAAGGTAGCTCATGAAGGGGCTAAGAGGGAGGAGGTGAGGGAGTGTCAGCAAGAGAACAAGCTGTTTTGTACTAGAGGGCGAGAGGAGACCCAGCAGAGAAAACAGCACCAGGAACCACCCCCGACATGAAACAGAAAGAGACCCTTAAAAACACTCAGGAAACCAACCACTACCTCTTAAAAAGAATGCAATGAAATGTATAAGGAAAATCAATGATGAAAATGAAGAAAACCCCAGAAACGTGTGCACGTGTACCCTGAGTCACTCAGCACCTGTAGCCAGAGCTGAACCTGCATCACCGAGCGGCTATTAATCATCAAAAAGAAAGAGAAGGAGAAATGAAAATTCTTTAATTAAAAGGCTTGAATTTTTCCACAGAGGGAGCTAAATAGAGTATTTGTACCCTTCCAGGTCATGTTCTGTCCCTTGCTTCTTGGGTTATGTGCCTCTGAGGTCCAGCTAGGGCTGGGGGATATTGAACCCAACTCCTTTTGTAATTTGCACCTCTCTGTGAGCTGGAGCTGACGGGAATGTCGCTGGTTGAAATGGCTCTCCACTTTCCTGCTCACCAGCTCAGGGCGATGGAAATGGAAGAACCTTCTATCGGGTTTGGTCCCGGTGTCTTAGATTGCTGGCTCTTCCTGGCTGGTGGTGGTGCATAGATCTGTTTGAGAAGTTGTACCTGCTGGAGACAAGCAAAAACAGAACTTTGGACCTGTGTTTTGTGTATCTATTCCAGAGTGATCCAATCCTGCAGACCAGGCTGAGGAGGTGCCAATCTCAGCTAGGCATTTGGGGTTCTAGCTTCTTTGGGGCTCTCTGGTCAGGGCATGGTGACAGACCTCTCTGGGTGCATGCTGCATGGCAGGTTCCCCGACCCCTGCTCCCCTACCAAATATGAATTTCCCAGTCTCCATTCCTGAATGTAATCACTCCATGGGATCAACTTCCCTGAGGACAATATGATTTCAGCTGGTTGTTCCCTCCAGAGATCTCAAAAGAACATGGGGTGCCCTCTCCTGTCATCCAGGCCACCACACCACCTGATCTGTTTCCCTGACCCTTCTTCCCTGGTGGCTTGCACCAGGGGGCTCCAAGGGACAGCAGGTAGCATTCTCCTCTTGGCGCTGTCATGAACCTCCTGGGTCCTCTGTTCCCTGTGTCTTGTGGGGCTGGGATGTGACTGGGGCCCTTTAGACCACGCAGTTAGCACTCCCTGAGGCCAGAGCAGTACTTGCTGGGCCTCTCGGGTTCCCACGGGGTCTCCTGCTCAGTTCCTCCCCTGGGGCACACGTGGATCCCCAGCTCACTGAGCGTCTGCACATCAGCTGGGCGCAGACCTCCCCCCACAGGAGCTTGCAGGCCCAACATGTCCAGTGTTTCCATTGCCCTCTGGGTTGTCCCTTCCCTCCGTGGTGACAGGACACCTCTGCCACTGCCGGCCTCAGGAGCATTTCTTTATATCCTCCCTTCACGTTGCCGCAATCTCTCGGCGTCTCTGAATCTCTGACAGTTATTGACTTTCAACTTTTCTCCAGACGCTTCGTTATGAAGCCATAATCCTGTTGTTCTAATTCCAAACAGCGGAGCAAGGGCACGGGCCTCCTCTCCCACTCGCCCTCTTGCTGTCCTGGCACAAAGGCTTTGAAGGGTCCCCACAGGAAGTGCTGGGCCTTGTAGAAATGCAGGTGTTCAGAGTGGACCCTTGATGGGAGGTAGGTCCCACCACCTGATAATGGTTCTCCCTGTCGGGAGTTTTCCAGGTGGGGTCCAGGGTCCGTGGAGGGATGTTTTTCCCTGAGGTCCATTAGGTCTACACGGTTGTCACAGTCCCACGAGGGCTTGTTTGTCCTTCTCACTTTTGCTCTTTCCTGGGCCTGAGGGGAGTGTCCCTGGTGCTACTTGACATGTGATGATATCATCCTTGGGGGCTGATAAGATGTGTTCTTGTGGCAATCCTGGCTTTAATTGGTTCTGAGTTTTAACTTGAAATACAGTGAATATTGACAGATGCAGCCACATCAGCAAGATGCCCTTGGTAACAAGTTAGACAAGGTTCTCCGGAAGGACAGAAACAGTGGGACACACACAGGCAGTGATGGTTTGGATGTGAGGGGTCCCCCAAAAGCTCATGTGCAAGAAGGTCCAGAGAAGAAATGATTGGGCTACAAGAGCCTTAGCCCAATCTGTGACCTAACCCCTGATAGGGATCAACTGAGAGGTAACTGAAGCCGTCGGGTGCGGCTGGAGGAGGAGGGAATTGGGGCTTGGCTTTGGGTACATCTGTATCTGGCAAGTGGAGTCTCTCTCTGCTTCCTGATCTGCACATGAGCTGGTTCCTCTGCCCCTGCTCTGCCATGATGTTCTGCCTCAGCTCGAGCCCTGGGGAGGGAGCCGGCCTTCTGTGGACTAAGACCTCGGAAAACCTGAGCCCTCAAATAAACTTTTCCTCCCTGACAATTGTTCTAGTCAGAGCAGTGAAAAATCTGATACACACACACACACACACACACACACATATAGATATATGAGAGAGGGGTCCCTATAGGACTTGGTTCACCTAACTGTGGAGAATTCCCACAACAGGCCTTCTGCAAGCTGCCAGCCGGGCTCAGTCCTAATCCAAAGGACTCAGATCCACTGAATCTCACAGCGCAACCCTCAGTCCAAGGCCAGCGTCCTGAGACCTGGGAGGAGATGGTGCAAGTTCTTGAGTCCAAAGACAGAGAGCATGAAGTTCTGACGTCCCAGGGCAGTTCAAGAGGGTGCCCAGCTCCATGAGTTGGAGTTAGCAAGGGGTTATCTTCCTCTGTGGGTTTTTCTCTGTGGCCTCAGCTGACCGGCTGGTCCCCATCCACATCAAGGACAGGTCTTCTCCACTCAGCCAACTGCTCAAATGCCAAGGTTTCCAGAAACGCCTCACAGATATTCCCAGAAATATACTTGCAGCTACCTGTGTCCCTTAGCCAAGCCAAGTTGACACCTAACATCAGCCACCACAGCCTCGCTAAGTTGCTGAGGCTGGCTTCAAACCTGTGATCCTCTTGTCTCAGCCGCCTGAGCTGCTGGGCTTACAGGCAAGTGCCACCAGCCATAGCTATACACTTGTTTTTGATATAGTTTTGATGATGTTCATAGCAATAAATCATCAGGATCAGAAGTTAATGTGAAGGAAGTGCCTTAACAGACTGCTAGGTGATGTTTCAGTAAAAATTGGTCACATTGCTTGAAGACCTCCAAAAACATACTAGGTTTTATAGAAGAGAAGAATACCACTATAATTAATTTTAATCAGAGAAAGCAAAATATACAAAACAAGTTTGCGTAACTTTATTGATGAAAACGGCCAATGAGTGGCCAGAATTTCAAAATACAGTTCCTTAGAAATCCATGTCATTCCCAGTATGTCACCATTGCCAAAGGTTACCAAGTTGTTGGGACCAAGAAAGTAGATAGAATAAAATCAAATTTCATATCCATTACTTCTGCCTCAGGTTTTTAATGGGTTTTTAGTTTGTAGGTTAAAGAATTCACAAGCCCCTCCCTCCAGTCTTAGGAGAAGCCTGTGGAATGAAAAAGGAAATAAAACCACTAACTTAGGTTAAGAATTCCTTGCTTTTCCATTTGATCTGCTGAACTTGAAATAGCTTCATCTGGAAAGATTCTAACACATAGAAAATATATTGAATCCTGGTATTTATAAGCAGCATATTTCTGAAGCATGCTATTTGGGATTGATTTCCACATTTCTCCCCAGCATAAACTTTAAATTTGCTGCCATGATATAATCTAATTTTGCCAGTGAAAATATTTCTAATGTTATTGACCTACATGAAATTTAGCAGGTTTTTTTCCCTTGAAAAGAGAAAGGAAAACAAAGGCAACTGAGATAAGAAGAGAGGAAAAAAATCTTGACTAAAACCAAGGGTCTTCCTACTAAGTGCATCAGAGTTCCTGCATAGTTTATGATTAGTAGAGAAGTTTACACGACCTGCCATGGATTTGAGCATCTCTCTCCACTATCACAACAGGAAATAGTAGGAAAACTGGATTTGGTGTGTCCATCTGCACACAGTGGAGTGCTGCTGTTGTGGTTTGGACGTGACGTGTCCTCTGAAAGCTCCTGTGTTCATGCAGGAATGTTCCCAGGTGGGATGCCTGGATTATGACACTGTGACCCAATCCGTCCATCCTGGTTGAAGGGACTGACTGGGGGCCACTGTAGACAGGTGGGGCCCGGATGGAGGAGGGTCCCTGGGGCCACGCCCTGGAAGGGTTCATCATCCCTACAGCTGGACACAATTTTTCTCTCTGCTTCCTGGATGCAATGAGCAGAACTGGGTTCTCCCACCCTCCTCCCCTTGGGCCCAGAGCAATGGAGTCAGCACCAGCCGTAGATGGAGCCTCTGAAATCATGAGGCCAAATGGAACTTCCTCCTCTAAGTTGTTCTTGACAGTATTTTGGTCACCGCAATGAACACAGTCGTGAAAAACTGCAAGATACTCACACTCACTGCCACGTGGGCGAATCCCAAAACCATTAGAGGGAGAGAAAAATCCAGGCACATTGTAAGATTCCTTTCAGAGGAAACATCCCAAGTCTGCAAAGCCGGTCTGTGGTCACCGAGGATGGAGGGAGGGGAGGTGGGGAGAGACAGCCAACGGGGTGCAGGGTCTCCCTGGGTGGTGAAAAGGTCCTGGTAGGAGTCGGAGGTGATGGAGGACAACATCATGATTCTATGACATGGCACTGAAGTTCTCACCTCAAAATGGTCCCATGCCAAGTAAAGTCCACCAGCGGTTTGGAAATGTCTATTCTATTTCAACTGGAAAAGCTTTTTTTAATTCTGAGAAGGGAGCGTGGAGCTCTGCGGGAATCTAGTTAACTGGACAAGACTGCACTTTAGCAGCTCTTCAGCATCTTCATTTGAATGCAAGCTGCTCCCCACAGGCAGCCCGGCTGGGTCCCCACCCACAGCAGCATGTTTGTCACCACTGACCTTTGGCTGGACTTCCCCTCCCAAAGACAACAAGTCATCTACATGGAAAAGCAATCGATCTTGATTGATCAGAAATGGTCAGGACTGGAAAGGAAGCAGCTGATGAATATGTAACTTCTGTCTCTGTGAAAACACCAAGAATTATCTAGAAGCTGTGCAGAAACAAAGAAGCGAGTCAGGACACAGCCCAACTCACCCTGCACAGACCCAAAACCCATCAGTTCCCCTCCATGGTGAGTCCTCCCTTTGCCTCCCTAATGGGAGGTCTGCTCTACCCCAAGAGTTAACTCACGAGTTACCAGAGCAGGAGAACCACAGGCGCCTCGGAGCTGGGCAGCATAAGAAGGTGTGTTTTCCTCTCATGGTCATTGAATACATCATTGTGGATTACGTTAATGACCACATAAGTTCTGCATTCCATTATTTAAGCACAACATGTCACATTGATCATTTTCAGGGTTTTTTTTTTTTGGTTTTGGTTTTGGGGATTGAACTCAGGGGCACTCAACCACTGAGCCACATCCCAGCCCCATTTTGTATTTTTATTTAGAGACAGGGTCTCACTGCATTGTTAGTGCCTCGCTAAATTGCTGAGGCTGACTTTGAACTCGTGATCCTCCTGTCTCTGCCTTCCCAGTCGCTGGGATCACAGGCGTGTGCCAACACACCAGGTTCCTAACACTGATAGAGGATAATTTGCAATAATTGAAAACTTCACACACACACCCAGCATATACCATGTGTCCTAGAGATGGTACTCAGCTATTCCAGTGAAAACCACACAACTCACACCCTCCCTCAAAGATCAGCATAGGGTGGCATGCACTGTTCACAGCAAAACATTTAGTACTACTGTGATACTTTGAGGGGGAATGCCTTCTCCAAATTATGACATTTGGTGGAAGCAGGGTGAGAGGTGAGGTGGACTTATGCATTTACAAAGAAAATCCCCATAGTATCTATCTAAATGAAGATCAGGTCAGAGGACAAGGGATCAGGTCATGTTTAAAAAGACCTTCAAAACGCTGGCGTCTGGGTCAAGGCGTGGACCAGCCCTGCAAGCACACACCCTGAAGTGTGGGCTGCGTGTCCCTCTGTGGGGACAGTAGGAAGGAAGAGGAGCAGGAGAAGGAAGACCCCCCTCACTCCCTCTGGTCCCTGTGGCTCAGGTCTAAAGAGCAAGTGCTCCTGGGCTCACTGTGCAGATCGGAACAGATACTAAAAATAAAGACCAGGCTGCTCGCGGTCCCCCATTCTAGTGCACTAAGGTCTCTACGAATGAGAAACTTGGCAACGACTCAGCGCATGCGCGGCCATGATGGACAGCCCCTGACCTACGTCTGCTCACAGCTTTCCCCAGACCCGGGGTGCGTTGGTGCTCCGAGGTTCTGGTGTTCTCAAAGTCGTCTGTCTTACATAACGTGTGACATGGACACTTCTCATGTCACTGAGCAGGCCCTGGGCCCCTTTCTAGGACTCCTTTCATTTTACCTTTCACCCAACTCGACCTCCTCACGCACCTTTTGTGCGGATGACCGACCTTCTCCCTCTGCAGAGTGGAAACGACGAGTGGAAGCCTCTGAGTGGGGCCACCGCAGTTTCCTGATGAGAGTCAGGTCTGGATGTTAAATGTCCCCCAGGGGCTCACTCAGGTCTTGTTCTGCAGCCTGGGCGGGTGCTGTGGGAGCTGGTGGGACCTTAGGGGAGGGCCTGGTGGAGGGTCAGCTGGGCACATGCCCTTGGCAGGGTGGTTTAGGGCCTGGCCTGGTGTCACTCTACTTACGGGCTGCCTGAGGTGCCAGCTTTGCCCCACCCGGGCTCCCTGCCATGGAGTTCTCCCTGTCACAGGCCCTTAAGCAAGGGACCCCATGGACCGTGGACCAAGCCAGGGGGCCATAATAAAGTTTTCCTCCTTCGAGGTGACTTCCCTCAGGTATTTTGTCATAGCAACAGAAACCTGAGCTCCCAGGCCCCGTGGGTGACTGTCCACCTGCAGCAGGATGAGCCACGGCTCTGCTTTCTCCTTGACTTTCCTTTTAGGAGCTGAACGGGAGTCTCTGCCTGCTGGGGAGAACAGCCAACTGGCTTGTCTGGCTGGACATGAAGATTGCCATTTGGCTTCCAAAGGAGGGGCCTGGAATCTGGGGCTTGCCACCTGTCAACCCTCCAGCCCGGCCTGTCTCCTTGCTGGCACTCCCGGCCGGGCTCCTGCAGCTCCCCTGTTACCCTGGGGACCCGGCCCATGGAGGTCCAGGTTCACCCTGGGCTCTGAGTGAAGCAGGAGACAGGTAGAGTGCCGCCACCCACAGGCCTCCAGGAACAGCTTCCCTGTCCAGGGGCCTCTTCACCCGAGATCCACTGCTGACTCCCCTGAGCTGTTTCTCATTTTCAACGTGGAGTGACATCTGCCAGACGGTAGAGCCTCTCATGGCTGTCCAGGGAGGCTCTCGTGGTCCCAGCCCCACCTCTCCCTCTGTGGCTTGGGGTGGGGGGGGTCTGCTGATACTCCCTCAGGTGGACAGCTGTGTCCACAGGCCCTGGTTTCCTCCTCAGGCACAAATGGCGCTGGGAGGGGAAGGGCCAGAGAGATGCTGACTTGGGCTGAATGTAAGGTAAAGCAGACCAGGAGCAGCCGCAGGGGCCAGGGGGGTTCCTAGAACTTGACCTCACTTTGTGTTTTTAATAGACCCTATTTTTAAGAGCTGTTTTAAGTCCCCAGAAAAATAGAGTGCAAGTTACAGAGGTTCCCTCTGTCCCCCTGTCCCCCGCACAAGCATTACCTCCCATGATCATCGGCCCCTCGAGGGGCCTGTAGGGCAACGGGGGAACCCACAGGACCCATCATCACCACCCGGAATCCAGGCACTTATTATTTTTTTTAAGGGCCTAATTTTACTCAGCAAGCCAAAGTGCTGAAGATAGAACACAGATCTCCCTATGAAAACCCCATAATTCATAATTAAAACACGGAGTAACTTATAATCAGATCACCTACAATTCACATCCCAGGAAAAAAGAATCTTTTAAAGAGGATCCCACATCCCCCTCTCCCAGTCAATCTGTAAGTTATTTCCAATGAGAAAGATTGAGCTCCAGCCTCCTCTTCCGGTGAATCTCACCAGGGTCAGCAGTATTTCCAGGCCTGGTCCTTGTTGTAATTCTTGGTCAGCGAACACCATTTTCTCCCAAAGTCATCGCCATCATCGGTGCACTCCCAGTAGATCAAACGCTCGTACCAGAAGGGAAACACGCAGGGCGCGAAGTCTGCGGAGAGAGAGGTGTCCGAGGAGGAAACACACGCGCACACACTCTCAGACTCTGACACACTCACACACGTACACACCATCATACACTCACACACACACACACTCACTTCCACTCTGCCCCATTGCACGGACTGCATAGGAGGAAAGACCTGGGGGGTTGCACCCCACAGTTTTGAGGTTCCAGCTTCTTTCCACGAGCGTATGGTTGGAGGAATCCTGACACGTCTCTACTGCCACGAGATTTTCACACTGTCAGGAACTGCGCTCCCTTTATTTTCACAGCTGAATGGGGCTGGGCTCTGTTCCAGAACATTCCTGGGCCCTCCCTGAAGCCCTGACACGGGTGGAGGCACCTGCTCACCTGTCTCGGAGCAGTACTTCCAGTGGCCCTCGAAGGTCTTGTTCAGGGAGCACCACTTGTGCCTCATACCGTACTTGATGCAGTCGTAGAATAGTTTATTTTTATACCAAAATGGAAAGACACATTCGCCATCTAGAGAAAACAAAGTGCCTCATCTCTCTGGGAGCGTTAATGGGGGTTAGGAAGTGAAGTGACATCCTCCTGGGGTCAGGGCCACGGCCACAGCTCTGCGGAAGGTGATTGGGCCATGCAATGGTGAGACTCATAGAATAACTTAATTATTCCCCAGAGGATGTCTGTAAACACAGTCTTTTTTTTTTTTTTTTTTTTTTGGTACCAGGGATTGAACCCAGGGGCATTTAACCACTAAGTCATATCCCCAACTCTTTTTATATTTTTAATTTAGAGACAGGGTCTCACTGAGTTGCTTACAGCCTCGATAAATTGCTGAGGCTACATTTGAACTTGCACCTCTTGCCTCAGCCTCCTGCCTCAGCCTCCCGGGTCACTGGGATTACACGCTTGCCCAGGGCACCTGGCTGTAAATTCAGTCTTGCTTAGCATTGGCTCTAGACCCCGAAGCCTGCCCTAAGGTAGAAACATAAATGCAGGCATTTACCTACCAAGCAGGTCTCCACACACTGGGTATCTTTTTTCTTCAGCTTCTTCTGTTCCTTCCCTGCCACATCCCTGGGATCCACACATGTGGATAAACTAGGCCCAGGTCCAAAATTTTCAGGAAAACAAAAATTGTGTCTGTACTGCACATGCACAGACTTTCCTTGTCATTATTCCTTAAAAACACAGTGTAACAATGATATAACATGGCATTTGGTATTTTAAATATTCTGGAGATGATTTAACTCATATGGGGAGATTGCAAAAGCTTTATGGTTATATGTAAATACCGAACCATTTTATGTAAGGGCTTTGACATTTTCAGATTCTGGCATCTGTGGGAATGCTGAAACAACCCCCCCCCCCCCGACACTGAAGGAGGTAAATAATTGATGGGGAGGAGGGGAGAGGAGATATTTGGAAATGAAATTGACCAAACTACGCTATGTGCATGTATGAATATATCACGAATCCCACTTTTTCATATAATTATAATGCACTAATAAAAACTGCATTACCTATAAACCCACACAGCACGTGTGTGTGTGTGTGTGTGTGTGTGTAAAACCATATAACATATATATACAATGCAATACACAGAAATGGATTTTTACTATCCTTACACCCATAACTTAAGTTTCCAACAACACATTGTAGGAATCTGTCTTTCTCTACACCCTTCGGTAGCATGATGAACAACTTCTTTTATTGGTGCACTACAGTCATACATAATATCGGGGTTCATTTTGCCATAGTCATACAAGCATGGAGAGTCATTTGCTCCATTTTGGTCCCCAGTACTTCCTCCTCCCTCCCTCCCCTCAGCCCTCCCCTCTACTTGACTGGTCTCCTTCTACTTATTTATAGTTCTTTAAAATTCATTTTGCATGGATGTGCAAAGGTGGACTTCACTGTGGTCTCTTCATGCCGGGACACAGGGCAGTTTGGTCAGATTCATGTGTATAGCTCTAACTCATCCTCTCTGCTGCTGCTTCCTGCTCTGCGATGAGGAGGTTTTCACCACAGTGCACTCAGTATTCCCCAGGAGCAGACTCTCTCTCCACCGTAAATACTGCAGGAAACATTCTACATACCTAAATCCCTAGGCACCAAAGCCCTTCCCCCTGTATAATAAAAGTCCACTCAGCAAGGCCATTAGAAGAGCATCTCTGAAGTCCAACAGCGATGGGTATGGTTTCCTCCAGGGACAATAGCCTCTCCTCTTTCCCACCCACGTGCCCTTTCTCTGGCCTTTCAACAGCGTGCAGAGTGAAGGCACCTCAGCCATGTCTGTCTGTGCGACACATGAGCTGTCTCTCCTTAAAAGCCATCCCAGTCCTTGGGTCATACCTATGTTTTCCTACATTTTCTTCTAAAAAAAAAAAAAAAGATTTTGTTTCTTTTACATTTGAAGTTTGATTAATGAAGAATTTAGTTTTGTATAGGATTCAAAAGGTGAATGCAACCTTTTTTTTTTTTCTCCAAGCAGATATTTAATCACGACAGATGGAGGATGAAATAAACCTTCTGTATGTTTAAACATGTACGTTTAAATCCTAACATATCCTGGGATGCAGGCTACAGGTTATGGGAGGCGAGTAGAACAGCGTGGTGGGGAAATAGGTGCTTTCTGGAGCCGGCAAGCATCATAGAACACCACTGCCCACGACTGATACCATTATTTGACTCCTTGCAGGCGGGAGCTATGCTTTTTATAATGCAGTATTTACATTATGCTCAATACCTAGTGGGAAAAAATGTTTCTCTACGCCAGTGTTATTTCTGCTCATAGTATTCTCATTATTGGATTTCTTTCTATATAAATTTTAAAATCTGATATTCTCTATCAGGCAGAAATGAAAGAGAATAAACATTTAGTGCTGGCCCAAGTTCAGGGTGACATGTATTTATAAAAGGAGAGGAACGGACTTTTTCCCCAGAAGAACATCATGGATTCCCCCAATTTTTGAAAAATGAAAAGAAAAAATTCTGATAATGAAAGGTTTTTTTATTGACTTACCCTCTACTTCTGCAAATTGAATTGTAGCATCTGAGAAATAAAATTTAAAGTGAAATTTATTTTACTTTTTATAGACTTTAAAGAGGCTGTCATATAAAATGGAATCAAATAAAAATGCTCATTTGAGGTGATGTTATTACTGGATTATGTCTTCCGTACAAGAATATGACATAATTTTCTATTTCTTAGAACTAGTTTTATGTGTTTTGATGACTTTATCATTTGCTATATATGAATCCTAACCCTTTCTTGACTTAATTCTACAATATTTTCATTATTAATATAAAATATATTTTCTACTTTTTTCATTAATATTTCATTCTTATCAGTATAGAGAAAAACTATTGATTGTTGCATGTTTATTTATAACCAGCCATAGAGCCAGAATCTCTTAATAAAACTAATAAATTCTCTTAATAATTCTCCTAATAATTTTCTTAATAAAACTAGTGTTTCTAGGGTTATTATAAAATAACTTTGCCTATTTTTTATGCAGGCTTATAGATCATTTCTTTCTTAACTATCACATATATTATAGCCCCACCCCAATAATGCTAATGAGAATTGACAATAGCTAGCCCTGTGCTTTCCTGGTTCAGAAAGCTTATTTTCATGGCTAATGTTAGCTCAAAAATAGGGATCAACTTAAAAAATCTATCACTTAGATAATTTTAAGTAAATGAGCTTTATGATGTTCTGGCCTCAACAAAGATGAACACATAAGCAGTAGACATGGAAATATTTGTACCTTATTTTTCAGTGAGAAAGGGCTGTCTCTATTTCATGATGTCCCATAAAACCCAATTTTTACAAAAAAGAAAATCACATTTTGAAGTTGTATGTAATGAACTATTTACTCACTCAAAAGTATTGGTAATAAAATTATGGTTTCCTCTCTTCTTTTTCCTCAAATATTTTTAAAATGAAACATACTTTCACTTATGTATGAGGAAATGAAAATTAGTTTTCTTGAAAAATATGATTTCTTTCCAGGAAAATAAATATTCCATGACTTCACATTTTATTGCAAAATTTAAAAAGAAACATTAAAACTATGATCAACTTACCTTCAGGTGGTGGAGAGTCATCTGAAAGACACAATTTTGGAAAACAAATAGCTATTTTACTAAAGCTATCATTTAAAATGAAAGAAACAAAAATTTTTCACCAATATTCAGTCCAGAAAAAAAAAGATAATACTTTTGAAGGTGTTCACCAAAATTCAACAGTGCTTATTTTTAGTGGTATGGTTGTAGGGGTTTCTAATTTCCTTTTCCTAGAATTATATTTTACAAAAATATGAATGAATTGGCTCAGATTCAGTAGTAAGTCTCTTAAAAATTCAGATTCAATAGATGTGGAACAGAGCCTAATTTACATCCCACCCATCCGAGGCAGGTGGACGCAGAGATCCGTCGGATGAAGCACCGAGATTTGTATACCTTTATTGGATTCTAATTGTAACGGGGTTCTCAGGAGCTTTTTGAGGAGTCAGCGGTGATCTAATTCATGCTGTTTAAATGCGGCCTGGCTGTTGTGGAGGTAGGACTGGGATGGGGTGGGGTGGACCCTGGGAGCCCAGAGGTGGACGCAGGGAGGGGTCCAGGGGAGTTGTAGATCTCGGTCCTGAACATCTGCTGGAGTGGCCAGCTCCTTCACCAACAGGGGAGTCTAGGGAAGGAAGGGGAAATCTGCGACCCGAGATGGTCCCGCGGGTGGCGCCAGGACGCCGCGTCCCCTAGAAGAACGCCACCTGTCTTCGCGGGCTGTCTTCCCTGGGTGTGCCTCTGCGGCCTCTGCGTTCTGTTCTTGTAAGGACACTGGTCACTGGGTTGGGGACAACCCTTATCCATCGTGACTCCGTTCTAACTAACAACATCTGCAAAGACCCTGATTCTAAACACGGTCACATTCGCAGGTTTGGACAGAGGTGACTTTGGGTGGTGGGGGACACCACTCCATCCTGGGCCTCCTGGAGGTGAGGATTCGGGTCACAGGTACAATGGGGTGCCTAGTACTGCCGCAGTGGGGCTCTGGAGTGTCCCACAGAGGCCCCTGTATTAAAAGCTTGGTCCCCAGCTTGCTGCCATTGGGAGGCCCAGTAAGAGATCATGGGCATGTGTCCTCCCAGGGGACAGTGGGACTCCAGCCCCTGCCTTTTTCTCTTTCTCACTTTCTGGCCACCAGGCGACTGGCTGAGTTCCACCCTTGGTTCTCATCCCGCTGCCTCGCCGCAGGCCCAAAGAAAGGGGCCACGGCACACAGACCCAAGCCTCCCTGTGAGCCCCAAGGAACCTTTTCTCTTTATAAGCAGATTTCCTCAGGTATTTGCTATCTTAATGGAAAGCTGACCGACACAATCCACTGCTCCCAAGAGACCCGCACCACCCATCCCCAGGCCCATCACAACAACCAGCCCAAATAATGTGTTCCTGTTTATAGAAGCTCCCTTCAGCCAACTTCAAGCACAAGCTGTAGAAATTGCAGATGACCTTATCTCACACCCCAGGACAAGAGTTTTCAAGAGTTCATTCTCAAGCTGAGGCTCAAAAGTGGGAGGCAACCAGAAATACTCCACCCAACTTTCCAAAGTCACCTGGGTCAGGACTGGTGACTGCTTAAGGCAAGGGTGGATTCCCGAGGAAGGTAAATAGCACAAGGACTTTTCAAAAACACAAACGTTTTAATTTTTTTTTAAAAGGAAAACAACAAAGACATGGACCTAATCATAATAGCCAAGTGTCCCCATGCCCTCACGTGCCCTCACGGCGTGGTAATGTAAACGATGCAGCCATGTTGAAAAATAGTTTGGAGGCTCCTCAAAAATTAAAACTAGGCCATTGGATGGTTCAGAAATCCCACACTGGAAATATATCCCAAGGAATAGAAGGTAGAACCTTGACATGGTATCTGCACTCCCACGTGGTGGTACTCACAATAGTCTAGATATTGAATAAACCTGGGTTTCATCAGTGGATGAAAGATTTTTTTCAAATGTGGAATATGTGTAAAAGGGGATTTTAGAATAGGAATAGGAAGTCCTGCCATTTAGCTGTCAAATTCAGGAGGACATTACGCCAAGTGAAAGAGGCCAGCCACAGAAGGCAAGTACTGCATGATGTCCTGTATATAAGAAATCTAAAGTAGACAGACTCACTCTGTGAAGATTAACCACAGGTTGAGCGTGCCTAGTCTGAAAATCCAAGATCTGAAATAATCCAAAATTCAAAACTTTTGAATATCTACATGATGCTGCAAATGGAAAATCCCACACCATTCAACTTTTGTGTGTGTGTGTGTGTGTGTGTGTGAAAAATCATCAAAAATGTGGAGGAAAATAACCTTTAGGCTATTGGGTAAAGTGTATATGAAACATAAGTGAAATTCATGTTTGCACTTGGTTCCCACCCCAAAAATATCTCATTATGCATATGCAAATATTCCAAAATATGAAAAGTGAAACATCCCACACCCCAAGCATTCTGGGTAAGGGATTTCAACCTATACTAAATCTCAATACATATCCCGCCTTTTAAATAGTAATAGTAGCTGTCACACAGTAATAGCGATAGTAGCAACACATTAGTGGCAGAAACTAATTTCCCAGTAGCTCTGGAAGGCAGCAAGAGCCATTGTCCTCCTACATCAGAAGTGAGAGATAAGAGCCCTCTGAGGCTCAAGACCTTGCCTGAAGTCACATGAGAAGCTCAGTTGGAACCAGGAGAGGCCAGAGGGGAAGCAGCCTCCTAAGAGTTGGTCTGGAGCCGAGCAGGGTGGAATCCAGGTAAGAGAAGCCCTCAGCTCTCGGAAGATGGGGACACAGGACAGCTCTGAGCTATCATCCATCTTCATCTCCATAAAATAATACAGGCTCTTGTAATGTAAGGCTCACTTTTTAGCACAAACCTTTGCTGAAATTAAATGATTGGCGGGCGAGCGGTCCTACCACACAGGAGCCTGAAATGATGACAATCCCAGAATTTGGGGTGCATAGAGCAGGTCCGGGTCTGCCCAGTGGGTCCCTTGCAGAGACCCCACTCTTGTAGTCCCTCAGACAACCTAACACCTTGGAACAGTAGAGAAATTACATTTTAAACACATCAGATTTTCATCTCTGGAACAAGATCACTCAACCGAGCCCTCTGTGAGACCTTGCCAGTTCAATCACTTCTCTTCTCTGGGCCAGGAATGTAGATGATTTTGCCCCTAGCCTACAGGGACTCTTTCCTCTGTCTTCCTGCTAGCCGCAGCAATGGAGTGAAAATATTATGACTTTTAATCTCTTGTGCACCTAGCAGATCCCAAACCTACCAAGTTATTGCTGCTAAGGGGCTAAAATACAATGCTTCTCATGGTCTGTAGTCTCCAAAATCAGAATGCCCCTTACTCCAGGTAGCATCTACTTATCTTAGGAGGGTTGCTGTGGGGACATGGTCATTATGTCCTGCACTGACTACAACCAGCAACAAAACTTGCAGTGTGCACTTCAGTGGCTCAAAAGACAACATGCCTAAGCCAGGCATAGTGGAGCACTTGAAACCCCAGCGGCTCGGGAGGCTGAGGGCAGGAGGATTGCAAGTTCAAAGCCAGCCTCAGCAACTTAGTGAGACCCTACGCAACTTAGCAAGACCCCTACTCAAAATATAAAATGAAAAGGACTGAGGATGTAATTCAGTGGAAAAGTGCCCCTGGCTTCAGTGCCCTGTGCAAGAAAAAAAAAAAAAAAAAAAGCAACAAGGCTCTGGTAACATGAGGAAGCAGATGGCCATGAGAGACCAGAGGAAGGCTCTGGACAAGCAGCAGTCCTGCAGGTCAAAAGCAGACGGGCTCTGCCATCATCTAGAATACAGGCCAAGGCGCCCAAGACCAACGGGCGTTTATTCTCTTACACGTTGTTTTGAGAAATGCTTTACCACTAGGGGTCTGGACAGCACCGAGATGAGATTTTGGGGAAAAATAAGACATCCACAATTCAGGAGGACAGACAGTGGAAGTGGAGAAGTTTTAGGAACCCCTGAACCAGCTTTTATCACTTACACATTCTCTTTCTTACACAGGTCTGAAAGGGATTTCTGACTTTAAAAAGATGAAACCTGTGGCCAAGTCAAAAAGTGTTAATTTTCAATTGGTGTAAAGTAGAAACTCCAGCTGCCGGGCGTGCAATAACCACCTGAGGTTGAGAGCATCTTTTCAATCTCTCTCTCCCTTTTTCCCTCCCTCCCTTCCTATTTTCCTTCCTTTTTCTTATTTTGTTTTTTAAAACATTTATGAGCACTGTTTCACTTATTTTTAAATGCAAAGATGTCCTAAAGAGTAGATAAAAAATACGTATAATATTCTTCATTTGGCCATTCCATTAAAAAAAAAAAAAGGTTTCACAAATAAGCATCATCCTAATCAAATGGTAAGAGGCAAACCCCAAGTTAATTCCCTTGTCCCATTATCCCCTTAGATTTAGGAAAAGCAACATGACTTTGATAAAGCAATAAAAAAGACTTCACCAAAACTGGTTTCCTTTCACCTTCACATGAGGCCTTTGGAATCTACCAGGGTGAAGGGGGCCACGATTTATCAAGTTACTCAACTGCTGCCAACAGATGTTTCCCTTGGCATTTCCATTTTTCATCTGTTGAACATTCCTATTTTAGAGTCTACTGGTGGATCATGTTTCCTAGGTACAAATGCCTGAAAGACAGACAAAGCTCCTTTTCTTTCTCGGGGTGCGTGAAGTCGGGGTGACTCGCACTCTCCTGGCATCTCCCATTTGGTCACGTGGCGCAGCACGTGTGCAAGACTCGAGTTTGGGAAGGTCCCACCCAGCGCTGTCGTGGCTTCTCACCTTCATAGGGAACACTGTCCAGGGGGTGAGGCGGGCAGACACTCAGCAGCACCAGCAGGAGCCCCAGGCGCTGGGCCATGCTCCTCCTCTAAGGAATGATGGGCACCAGCTCACCGCTGAGTTTTACATCCCTTAGAACCAGCACAACCACTGTCTGCACTTTGTCCCCTCCTCTCTCTTCCCAGTCTCCTCCTTGTCCCCGCCCACGTCTACTTCCAACGCCCCCCTATTCCTCAAGCCCCTCCTCCCTCCCCTTGGGCTCCCTCGTCCATTTCTTCCTCCTCCTCCTTCCCTCATCCGTCTTATCACTTACTTCTGACTCCATCTCCCTCTTCTCCACCGTCTCTGCCTCTTCCTACTTCTCCCCCCTCCACTGTCTTCCCTCCTCCTCTTCCACCTCTCCTCCTCCTCCCTTCTCCTTTTCTGCCTCTTTCCTCTTTTTCTGCCCTGAAACTTAACCATCAGCCAGAAAAGTAAGAAATACATAAAAAGAAATACTCGACTGGCGTTCAACAGAGACAAGCCAGAGCCACGGTCATGAGACTCAAGTGGTTCCCCCGCAGCTAGTCATCAGGGATCAGCGAGCACTCACGATGTATCTCTCTGGGACCTTGGTAAGGTCCCAAGGCTCCTATTGGGGATCCAGGGTAACGTGGCAAATCCTGAAAGAAACCAAGAAGGGGGCCTATGGAATTCTCTTACTAATTCCCGGATAGTAGAATATTATTTTAAAATTAGGACTAATTGGATAATATAGTTCAGAGACCTAGTTTCAGGTCTCTCAGGTTTGCCTTCTCAATAGAAAATTCTAGGACTTTTAGTCTTTCATTAATCAGCTGAAACTTCTCCAGTCCTCGCCTCTGTTCATTAATATATACATGACTGAATTTTATGTCCTCACGGACATGCACAAGTTCATCTCGGGGCATTGTTAATTAACCTCAGGGTGATCTCATCCAAACTGCCTTCTGGTAATAGCCACTTGGAGAGCACCCTCCTCAGGAAGCCACTGTCTTGTCCTACAGACAGGCTGGGGCCAAAGCCATTTGACCAATCCCCACATACTCTGGAGATCTTGGAGCAGAACCTTAAAGAGGATTTGTGAAGAGAGAGTGAGAGATTGATCTAGGGCCAAGAAGGACTCTCTTGAAGGTACAGAAACACGGGAGGGTGTGAAAAGTGGGCTCTGAGGGTCTCCACAATGGGGAAGGAAGTCTACTAAAATGAAACTTGAGCCACGTATATGATTTTAAGTTTTAGAGTAGTCATATCTTTAAAAAGCAAGGAGGAACAAGTGCTATTTATTTTAATATATTTTGTGGAATCCATGATATCTTAACTATTACCATCTTAGCACATAGGAAAAAAATACTGAGATAATTTACATTCTTTCTACTTCACCTTCACCTTCAGAATCCACTTACAACGCAGGACAATTTGGAGCCCATATTTCAAGAGCTCAAGAGCCACATGTATTTAGTGGCCGCCATATTGGATCTGGGAGAGAAAACCTAGAGAAAGTGGGAAAGGGGGCCTTAGGGAAGATTCCTTTTTTAGTTAAGAAACTTGAGGAGTGAGTTAGGGTAGATTATATGAATTATGTAAGGCCAATGGAGCCTTCCTGTGTCCTGAATTTTTGCAAAGAGAAGAAAAGGGAACTGGAGTGGATGAACTTCCAATTGAGTTCTCTACCCTTTATCAGCCTCAGATGAGCAGGAAGTTCACCTTCCCGGTTAACTGAGAGTGTCACATACCAGTGTTTATCTAAGGAGTCGATAAGTATTTCCATGGTTCCAAAATAGACACAGATATTTATACATACAAACAGTGTCACGATATACTCTCTTTTTTGTATCTTTCATTTAATATTCTCTTTATTTCATACAGAACACACAGGGTGAACTCATTTTATTTGAAGGCATCATGCTGTTGGTCAACCTAGGTGAAAGAAAAACTTATCTGACCAATTTTCCAATGGTTACCATTGTGTTTATCTCTGGTTATTCCTATTGTAAGTAACCTTGTTCAGCTACATTTGAATCTCAGGGTCTCCTGCAATTGGCATGTCTTTAGAGTTCCTGAGAATTAAATAATAATTAAACAAACTCAAATTATTAAGGAAACACAATCAACTCACACAGCCATGCTCAATGAACATGAGCTACTGTTATGTATTGAACACACTCCCCACCCCACATACCGAGAGCTCTGTCTATACAGGATCATCTAGCTCCTGGAGCGATCCTATGGGATGGATTTCAGTAGTCTGATATATAGAAAAATAAATTGATAACAGAACATTTTCTGCTTCATGCTCAAGGTCACGTGTATGGGCTGGAGATCATATCTAGGCAACTCTCAGCCAAGGTGTACCAGTCAGAGAAATGGAGACTCTGAGCCATGAACCCTGTTGCTCAGAGCCACACGACCTGCCTAGGACCTGGGGTCTGTGTTTCTGGACACCTTCAGGATGACTGACTCAAACAGGAGCAGTGACGGTGAAAACAGTAATGACTGGTGTCTACTAAGCACATTCCAGGTGCCAGGCAGTGTTCGGAGACCCTTCTGTGTGCATCTGTGTCCTGCACCCGCCAAAGCACACGGAGACACACTTACCTGACGTAACTCACCCTTCTCCTGCAGTTCTCTAGGTCAACAGTCTCCCTGGCTAAGATCAAGGTACCCGCAGGACTGTGTTGCTTCGGCAGACCCTGGGGGATCACTCCCCATCTCCAGGTCCTGAGTCTCTTCCTGCAAAGTCCTTTCTACCTGGGAACCAGCCACGTGCACAGGTCCCAGGGATTAGGATGGATGTCCAGGGTGGGGGCTGGGCTCCACTCTACCTCCTGAAACACCTTTGGCTCCCTCCTGTTAACATCCTCAGGCACCAGCCCTGGTCACCATCATTAGCTCCTTTTTACAGATGAGGGACTGAGACCTGGAACATGGAGTAACTTTGTTCAGGTTAAAAGGGAGTGAAAGGCAAAGCCTTAAAACCGAGCTGTCCCACTCCGGGGCCGGCGGTTCTGAAGAGTACAGTGTTCTGCCTGTCTGGATCTCAGGACCTAAGCAGAAAGTTGTTCGTTGAATTTGAATCTTGAGAGGAAAGGCAGAAACAGCGTTTGAGGTTAGTGAATGAACTAAGGTGAGGATATGAGGGCTTGGGATGAGGCAGGAGCATAAGCATGAAGCTGTAGGTGGTAAAGGGTCTAAAGGAGGGGTGACATTTGTCTCTCTGCCACCTCCGTAGGTGGTAGTCAACCCCAGGTCTGCAGGCTCCCCTTTGCCACTGACAAAGTGCTGTCCAGGACCTGCTGCCTGTATCATATGATCTTGACGAGGAGTTTACTCTGTGTCACTTGGTAACTGGGAAAGCTGCACCCGTGTCTGAGTGGTTTTCTCCAAACCCATCAGGACACCTGCGATGGCGGTGGCAGGGTGCCAGTACTACGTACCCATGGCTTGGGACGAAGAGTCCTCCAGGTGTTTGAATGTGTCAGTGCTCAAAGAACAACTTGGTCCTCACCTGAATGTCCCAGACACGGTGTCTGGCTCCCTGAGTGGCCTTCCAGCTTAATGATCACCTTGAACCACTCCAAGACATTTTCTGTTGCTGTCCCTGACTTGGTCCAGGTCGTCTCCTGAACATTCCTGCCTGTCCGTCAGTATCAATTCCTGGTCTCTCACAAGATCCTTTGTGGCATGAAGCTTCAAGCCTTGCACATGTGTAGGGAGAAAGCATCCAGGTGGAGAGGACAGCAAGAGCAAGAGTCCCGTGGGGTAGGCGAGCTGGACTCACGCAGCGGGCAGTAAAGGGCCAGTGAGTGGGGGCTGGTCAAGGAGGGCAGCGGACGAACGTGGAGCCTCCAGGCGAAGGCCACGGGTGGATCGTCCAACGGTGCATGGATTGTGCTCTAAAGGCGGGGGAGTTGGAATTAATACGCGCCTTCTCTCCCCGGGGACTCCCTCCAGTAGCTTCCCCTTGCATTTAGAGTGCGGGAAGCTCGGCAGCCCCAGCCCCGCCCTGCCCAGCTCCCCTCGGGCTCCTCAGGCCACTGCTCCCACTTCCCCCAGACACGTCGCATCCACCTCAGGCCCTTTGCACATGGGTTTCTTCTGCCTGCAGAGCCCCCAACCCCACTTCCCTCATGCCCACTTCCTCTTCCTCCTCTTCCTCCTGCTTGGTTGCTATGTGGGTCCTCACAGGAGCCCCCCCTGACCCGACCAGCAGTCAGCCTGCCCTAGTTCCTCCCTGTCTCAGCCTCTGCTCTCCCTTTGGTGGCCAGGATCACAGCAGAGTTAAGGCTTGTTCCTGGGCACTCACCTCCTGTGTGTCTCCTGGGGGACTCAGCCCGGGAGCAGGGGCCACACTCCCACACACTGCTGTGCCTTCCTCACCCCGAGCCCCTTCCTTCTGAAGGAATCCACAGGAGCCTGCGTCAGGAGGGACCCACTGCAGGTGGAAGTGGAGGACGTCCTGCGAGGCGAAGTAGGCAGAAAATCACGGGTTGAATGTGTTCTGTGCTCTGCAGAAGATAACAAGAAACATAAAAAGAACCCAAAAGGAGGATTTCACAAAATGGAAGGGAGGTCCGTTGAGTAGAAGGAGGGGGAAGGCGGGAGGAAGGAAGGGAAGGAACTGGGATGAACTGAGCAAGTTACTCCAGGTATGATCGTAAGCCACCAAAATCAATTCCAATGTTACATGTGACTCTCCTGTGTCAACTAAGATGGATTGATAAACAGAAGGAATCCAACAGAGCAGAAGAATGGGATCCAGCGGAGGGAGGGGGAAAGAAAGGAGTAGTAGAGGGGATTGAAACGGAGAACTCTGTTGTGCGCATTTATCGATATGCCAGGATGAACCTCGCCATTACTTATAATTATGATGCTCTAAAAATACATTTGTGAGACCCTGATTGTGTTATTTGGTTTTTTGATGTTAAGTTTTTTGAGTTCTTTATATATCCGCATAAATGGGCCAAGGAGCTGAACAGACACTTCTCAGAAAAGGATCAACAAATATGTGAACCGTGTAGTTGACACTGATACTCTGACTCCAGAACCCGTAAGTCGCTT